CTCCCCCCCGCCTCGCCCAGGCAATGACAGCGGCTCCGGCGTCTCCGCAGCAGATCAGGGACCGGCTGCTGCAGGCCATCGACGCCCAGAGCAACGTAAGTGCCTGTCGCGCGGGCCGGGACGGAGGCCGCGTGCGCCCGGGACCCTCCCTCTCCCCAGTGCCCCGCGCCTGCCGGGCCCCGGTAGACCTGCCCGGACCCCCCTGCCCCCGAAGGCCGCTGCCACCCCGGCTCTCGCCCCCTGGGCCCGGACCGGGGCCAGGTCGGGCAGCTCGGCGGCACCCGGTACGTGAGGCCGAGGCTTCCGTGCGGCCTGGGCGGAGGGAGCGGACGGGGGCCGAGGCCAGAGCTTATCCTCCCCTCGAGCTCCTGCTCGTGGACCCTTACTGCTCCGGACGGAGCTCGCCCGCCTCGCCCTACCCCTGGGGCTCGAGACCCCCGGGAAGCCCTCCCGGTAGGGGGGAAGGGAGGGAGAAGGGCTGTGGAGCAACTGGTGTCTCGGCCATGACTCGGGGAGCCCGTGCCTCCCTGTGTGTAGGCCTTCTGGATGACCAGGGAAGTTCTTTTTCTCTCGCCTCGCGGCTGCAAGCATCTAACTGGCTTCGGAGGGAAGCCCCTGGCCTGCTTTGCCCCTACCTGAGTGTCCAGGGCGCATGGAGAGCCCCTCTCCGTTCTGCGACTGGACCTGCCTTTGCGGGATCTCTCTTGGGGTCGCTGCGGAGGGAAGATGATTTGGGGGATGGGGTGGGATCCTTCCTGCTCCTTGTCTGGATATAGGTGACCATTGTGGCTCTGACCAAGCCAGGGAGCCCTGCTTTTTGGTAGTGAATTAGAGGTAGTGGTTTTGTCTCCCAGTTCCCCAACAACCCTGCTTTGGCTCACTCCCATCCCCCTACCTAGGGGTCACAACCTGGTGGGTGGTTTGTGTTTCGAGATGGTCAGGGTTAACTCCAGAGTGTTGCTTTCACAGGTGCCCCTCCTCGGAGGCTACTGTTTGTAGAGGGAACACTCCTCTCCTGTGTGTGTGTAGGTGAAGACCCATCATGTTCGTCTCATATTCTCTACCAAGAGTTTATTGGCAGTAGGGATCATTTTTCTCTGTGACAGGAGCAGGTTGGGCAATGGGAAGATGCAGTGGCACCCAGGTATGGAGTGAACCCCTTGCATTTGCTGGGTGGCCAGGAAGTGGACATTGAGATCAGTTTTTAATGTGCTGGGGATGGAAGAAAAAGTCGCCCTGGGCTTGGCCAGGTAACTCAGATTTCTTCCATCACAGTAGCTTTAGTTTTTCCTTTAGGTAAGCTTGGCTACTTATTCTTAGCAGTATTCCTTGGTCCTGGTGATTTTGGAATGATTCACATTGTGTTAGACAATTGTGGTAGAAATTGGGGGGTTATGATCTTTCTAAGGCTCTGATTTATGTGTCACAGTAATTTTCTTGTTTCTGGGCTTTAGGTCCCACTAAAATTGACTAGTGGTAATCGTCTTTAACAAACGTGGTATACATTTTTGTTGTGACTTTGGGTGTGGAGTAGGCATATACTACATAAAACCTTCCAGAATATGCTCTTTGCAGTAACTGGTGCTGCTGCAGTTCCCCAGACTGAAATATTAGAGAATAAAACAAGTAGCACGAGAAACGTAGTCTTGGTGACTTTTGCATCTTTTGTCGAGCTAGAACCTGATTTACATGCTTACTTACCTAGACTCCGAGAGGCCGCTAAGGTGTTAGCACTAATCCTTAATACTGAGGAGAGCTTTGGGATCAGGAGGCGCTTTGACAGGTGGTCACGATGTTGTAGATGAGGTGGGGGCAGTGACCACAGAGGGGTCCAGGATCTATCAGGCTCTCATCTAAAGGGTTCTTATAAGTAGAGGAGGGGGAAGAGGAAGAGGGGCTAATAGGGATCTGGGAGGGAACAAATGTTACTTTTGTGTATTTTAGCGTATGCAAAAACGTCATATTCATTCATACTGGCGTGTGGTTACGTTGCATGGTTTGGCATTCAGATTTTGTATGGCACATTTTGGGGAGGCTCTCGTGATAGGTGTGGAGGTGTTTGGCTCTTAATCAAAAGGTTGGAGGTTCCATTCCACCCACAGGTGCCTTGGAAGAAAGGCCTGACAGTCTCTTTCTCCAGAATCAGCCATTGAGAACCCTATGGAGCAGAATTCTGCTCTGACATACATGAGAGGCACCATGAATTGGAATTGACTCAACAGCACCTGTTAGTGATGGGTGTATGTAGAGTCCTGCTGAAGTGCGGGGGATGAAATTGGGAAATTGTCTCTCTGAATATGAGGTATGACGAAAGCTCCTCTTTTAAAAGCTGCCATTATCAGTGGTCGTCTGTGAGCGTTTTTAAAAGCTATTTGACAGGAGCGTGGCTTTCAGCGACTACTGGATAGGAACCTCAGCGCTGTGGCAGAGTAAGTGACCGGAGACGGTGATGTGGGCCTTGGCACGTGCATGTGTCTCCAGTTTCCACCAAGTTGACCTGGCTCAGGTGAGAGTAAGGTGCCTCCAGCATAGGCCTTGTTGGCCCGCAACTGCTCTCTTGCACCTTGCCCGGTCATCAATCTCAGTTCTGGATAGTTGGTTGACACATATTTAAGATGCTCATGAAAACAAAACAAAATAAACCAAGGGAAAAAAACAAAACAAAACAGGGGCAGTGTTGAAGAGACAACACTAAAATTAAACCTCTTCTGAGAGGAGCGATAGAGAATTGTGTCACGTAATGCTTACCTTTATGGGCATTCAATTATGGTTAACAAACGTAGCTTTTGCTGGAAACAGCAGTCAGGTTGCTGACCTAATGTCCACAAGTATCTGCAAAGTTCAAGCAGCAGTGCGAAGTAACAAAGTAATGTTTGCTGACCACCATCCTCTTGAAGGCCCTCCAAGGGGAAAGTTGTTTCTTTGCTCTGAGTTTTAGCCTCTGGAGTGTTTGAATTTCTACAGCAGCAGGCTAGAAGTTAATAATTTCTGCCAACTCGGTGATAAAGTAAATCCTTCTCAATCCTTTCTAAAAAACGGTTAACAGTTTTTCAGAGCAGAAGCAGCCTTTCTCTCTTCGTGGTGTGCATTAGCCCAGAGGGTGGAAGTTTCTCCAAGGTGTAGTGTGCACACTTGTTCCAGCTGAATCTTGCTTCATGATAAGCATAGTCCAGGGCTGTGCCTTCCTTTCCTGCAGAAATCTTCATGTGTCCACCCAAGCACAGGTTCCCCAGACAGCGACTTGGCTCCTATTCGTCTCAGCACGCATTGTTTCCCCAGTGTACAGGCTCTGCCTCCTGACTAGAGTGCAGGCCACGTGCGGACACTGCATGTCTCGCCTCCTCTCACTCGAGCAGAAGCATCTGGCACACGCCTAAGCGCTTGTTAAACAGACTTCACTCCAGGCTCCTACTCGGATCTGTGACGGTGGAGCTCTGCTTGATCACCTTTTTACCTGAACCCGCGGGACTGCTGGTTGTCCAGAAGCTCTGTCGTGGAGTTGTCTAACGCCAAACTCGGAGAGTGGGGGAATCACAGGCGCCTTGAGACCCTGCTCTGGAACCGGGAGGAGGACAGACGTCAAAGAGGGCCTTGCAGTTGAGAGGCATCCGAGACAGGGAAGTATCCCCAAAAAAGTGGAATCAAGGTACGAGGCAGGGCTTGATAAATGCCAGGTGAGTGCTCTGTGTGTTCCAAGCAGAGAGAGGCTGACGAGGGTGTTCCAGAAGGAGAGGCCATTGAACTGTTGAACTAGCCCTGGACGTCTACACACATACTTCCACTGGTCAGCTTCTCCGGCAGGAGCCTTCTCAGTTGTTGGTCCCCCCCCCCCATCTATAGTTGTGCAGTCATTTAGATAAAGCAAGTAAAGTCATGTAGTGTCCACCTAGAAAACACAAAAGTTAGTGGCCTCTCTGGGAGACGATGACAGGCACCTGAGCGGTGGTTCTGGGTATTCCTGGTCCTTCTTTGTGTCTCAGGTTCCTCGGAACCATAAGAAGTTCATGTTATGGTGACTGCAGGGCCTCTGCAGACAGACATGGACAAGAAGGACGTTTTCCCACTTTGGAAATGGAAGGTAAAAACATTGCATAGCTTTTACGGCTGCAGGCCCCTCATCTGAAAGTGGGGTTGGGGATGGTTATCCTTTTGGATCCAAGGCTCCAGCTCTGGAAGGGGCAGCAGAGACTGAAGTAGGTTGTGATAGAAGGTGGGTTTTTTGTTTTCTTTCTTAAATATCTGTGCGAGGTGCCTTGCATGAACTTTCTAAAATAGCACAATTCTAAACAGGGTGGGCACGTTACCTGTATCTGTGTAACGCTTTAACAGAGTTTCCTTGTTCCGTCCAGGAGCCTTGCAGAGGGAGCTGGGGTGAGTGTCTAAACCTGTTGCCATTGAGTTGATTCCAACTCATAGCAACCCTATACCAAAAGAACCAAACCAAACCTATTGCCATCAGGTGGATTTCAACCTATAGCGACCCTATAGGACAGAGTAGAGCTGCCCCATAGGGTTTCTAGAGAGTGGCTGGTGGATCGAACTGATGACCTTTTGGTTGGCAGGCGAACTCTTAACCACTGTGCCACTAGGGCTCCAGCGACCCTATAGTCTCCCCTGTTTTCCAGTGCAAAGAGCATCATGATAATACTGTTAGCTGCTGTTGAGTCGACCATCAACTCCTGGTGACCTCATAGGCAATGGATTGAAACACTGCCCAGTCCTGTGCCATCCCTGTGATCGGACCGTTGTGCTCCAGAGGATTTTCATTGGCTGATTTTCAGAAGTAGATCACTAGGCCTTTCTTCCTAGTTCATCTTAGTCTAGAATCTCCTCTGAAACCCGTTCAGACTCATAGCAACGTGCAAACCTCCACTGACAGATGGGTGGTGGCTACGGATGAGGTGCATTGGCTGAGAATCGAACCCAGGTAGTGGGGACCATTGATTGGGTGTTTCCTGTGGCCAGGTACTGGACAAGATGCTTTTGTTCCTTATTGAATTAATGTTGTGACTTACCAAAGTTAGGGGTACTGTAAGTGATAATGCTTCTGACTCAACTCCACCGCAGGAGTCCCTGGGTGGTGCAAACATTAAGC